GCGACCATCTTCCACATCTGAGAAGGTTAGGATGAGTGGTCCACATGGGCCAGGCAGCCACTCAGGAGGGGCCAAAGGAGGTTCTTTTGGAAACAACACCTGGCTTGTGAGTTCCTAAATTCAATCAAATATCCCTGAGAATGATGATAAAAATGAACGCTCCCCAGACTTCTAGGCTCCATTAGCCCATTTCTTGGGACCCGACTTATCATTGTCTTTCTATGCTTCAGGTGTGTCACCTTTCTTCTATGAAGGCACAAGCTACACCTAGTTTATAGGAAACAGTCTATGTTCCCAGAGAGCTGAACCTCAGGAGTAGCATGCAGCAGTCCTGATGGGCAATGCATTGTGTGACTCACCACAAGGTCAGTGGCTCAAAACCACCGGCCATGCTGAGGAGGAAAAATGAGGCTTTCTCCTCAGCCTACCCTGTCCCATAAGGGTCACTGTGAGAATTGACTCATGAGAAGGGAGAACCGGTGGAGAACCGTTTGCCTGTTACCAGGGACTGTGGTTCACAGCCAGCAGGGGGCGCACAAGGACCGAACCGTCATAAGACCCCTTTCCTTTCCTTGCTCCTTCCTCCCAGCTCCTCCTCCCCGCTTCTTGTCCTTGGGTCCTTTCTCTTCCTCTCCCCTCTACCGCCCTTTCCTTTCCCAATGATCCAGGACTGTAATCTTGGGACTCCAATCTGTCACTCAATCCTGGGTTTGATTATTTCCAAGGTGAATGGGGTCTATGGAATGTCCACCCAGACTTAACCATTTCAGAGCAGAGAGCTTCAATCCCTCAAAAAAAAATTTCCAAAATTCAAACTCACTGCCATAGAGTTCACTAGGGCTTAGAGCGAGCCTGTAGGACGGGGTAGGACGGCCCCTGTGGGCTTCTCAGGCGGTGACTCTTTACAGGAGTAGAAAGCCTAGGCTTTCTGCAAGCAAGCCGGGTCCCCCCTTTTAGTGGGGCTCTGTAGAGTGGATCTCACTCTGGGAACCGCGCAGTTCTAGAAAAACTGTCTGAAGAATGCCACTTGGCAGCTCAGACTCCACAAACAGGAAACAGTCGTCCCTCGGGCAGTGTTTATGCACACCTCTCACCCAAATGGAGAAGGCAGACGTTCGGTCCTAGAGATGGGGAAGACTGCACCTGCTCACACAGACTCCAGGCAACTCCAGGCCTTTAAAACCAGTGTTTTATATTTGAGCCAAAGCATCTCTTCTTTGCAAGCAAAGCCTGCAGTGGGTGGGGACACAGACCCTTCTTGGTCACATACACCAATGTGTGTATCAATGTATATAAATGTGGAGCATGTTTCCTTAAAAAACAAACCTCACGTGGGAGCACCCTGGACCGTTATTTCTTTTGAAAATAATGATTAATTATTAATCTAAGGAGAGGCTGGTAGGGAACTCAAACAGACGTGTGTGTCTGCGCGCGTGTACACACAGATACCAGAACACCTCTCTCAAACAAGGAGGCTCCACGTTAACATTTCCAGTGATATTTGGTGTCTGTTTATGAAAACGGACGCACATGCTTTCTATACAAAGGAGGGTGTCACTTCTGTAGGGGCGGACATTTCTGGTTGCCCACACCCACCCCTCTTGTCCCTGCTGCCTTCCTCCACCTGGGAGTGGTGGACACGGGAGAGGAGCCTTCGCCCGGGCCCAGGGCAGCACTGGGTCCCCTTGCTTGCTCTGGGCCTCCGTGGAGGGGACGTGACCAGACGAAAGGAGGTGCAGGTTCCTGCAGGGCTTCTCCTGGCTTACCGCTAGGCAGTTGGCCAAAGAAGTAGGGTTTCTAAAAGGTGTGTGTTTGTTTAAAACAAAGCAACCATGTTTTTGTTTTTCGACCGACCACCTCTGTGTCATGGAGCGTACGGGGGCGGTTTCTCCCCCGGGAGGAAGAAGGTTGGTGTATAGAGTGGTGGGGCATTGGGAGGACGCCCGGAGGTGGAGCTGGCCTGAGACGGAGGCTGCGTGTCGTCAGAGAGAGAGAGGTCAGTGGAAGACGAGACTGGGAAGTTGCCGGAGGGCTGCAATCAAACAGAAACGGCTGCTTCAGTAAGCAAGTCAAAGGACATTGGCCGTCCACTGCAAGAGAAGCAAGACCACGCGAAGCGCCAATCAAGTCCCTTGAAGCAGCTAACATGGGCATGGGCTCCCTCCCAGACTCAGCTGCACCCACCGGTCAGCAGGTGGCCCTTCTGCAGGAAGAATTCTAGGACCACAAAACGCATCACCCCAGCAGAGTGGAGAGGGTACCCTAACCCTCCCACCCTCCCCCACCCCAAGGGGAGGTCTCCTTTTCGAAAACCACATGGCTGCTTGGAGGGGAGAGGGAGGAAATTTCCAAGGTGCTCTGGGAAGAGTTTTGCTAATCAGTCCCCATAACCCGTGCAGCGCATGCGTATTAGCTTTTAAGGGCAGGCTGAAATTAGAGTACAGCACCCCCTCCCAATACCAATCACAAGGCTGGCCACACCTGGGGTCAGGATGCAACCCTCTTTATCTATGCAGGCTCTTCTGGCTCTATAACTCTCCATATTTCAGGGGTGGGGAATGATGGGGAAGGGAGAGGACCCTACCCACACCCCGAGAACATCGCCCTTTTCAACATCATTCAAGTGAAAGTGATTTTGCCATGAGAACAAATGTTGGAGGGATACACAGATTTTAAATCCATAAAAATGTCAGTATTTTTCCATCAGCCCTTTCTTTCCACACCAGCAGACCGTACACATGTGAGTTTTTCTCTTCGAGCCCTCCAAAACCCTGACTCGGTGCCACTCACCACGCCCCTGCAGGGCACGGCAGGACTGTCCCTGTGGGTTTCCGAGGCTCTTTAAGGGAAGAGAAAACCTGGTCTTTCTCCCTCGGAGCAACAGCTAGTGGTTTCGAACTGCATATCTTATGGTTAGTAGCCCAACTCGTAACCCACACCACCACTTCTAGAGGTTATAAAAAAAATTCTAATTAAAAAAAGCAACATCTGAATAAATAATGTCAGAGCGAGGCAGCCTGGTGGCATAGCTGGTCAAGCATCTGCTCTACTCTAGAATTGGCAGCCGCTTCTGTCAGTCCTACAGGTTCTCCGTTCCTTGGAACCTACTCCACAGCAGTGGGTTTGCTCTGGTGTTACGTGATCAGATGGAGAGAAGTTTCATTGGAAGATGAGATATATGTATAGATCAGCACGCTGTGTGTATGTATAGATATGATTCAATATGATAATATATACAGTTCCTATCTAGATAAAACCTTGCCTTACAGTGACCCCAGGCTACCTGCCCTCCTCTTCAGTCTTTCTCTCAAACTCACCCCTCTTTGTAACAGCAGGGGTTACAAAAAAACGAACTATAGCAGTTGCCCTCGGATCTGCTGGCTACCTCGTAGGCTCAGTCCCCTGCACATGCGTGACTTACTGCTCTGTTAAGTTCTGCATGTTAGTAGTCTGGCTAACCGAGGAACTAAAGCATCCCAGACAGACAGGGGCCTCACCAAGGCTCCTGACTCTATTCAGCTCCCTGACCATCATCGGAGGCGCAAACCAAGAAACCACTCTATTAATAAGACCGGAGCTGACCCTCGGCCTTATTTCATGCCAGCCTCTTCTCTGCGTGTCCTGCCTGGGCAGACTGCTGGGGATGGACGGGGTGGGGCTCTGGTCAAGAAAGGGAAGTTTCCTTTAAGTGTTTCTGTTGACCAGCTACTCAAAATAAAGCCTGCAAAGAGTTGGCACATGTCCCTCCCTCTAGTCTGTGGATGGATTCTCCCCCTGTGTCCGCTGCTAATGACCTTCCATGGAGTACTTGGCTCAGTTCCCTGGCCTCTCTATTGGGTCGGCTGAACTGGAAGCACCAAGGGACCACATGGAGCCTCATCCACTTTGTCCTTGCTTTGGAAATCTGATTATTAATGCCTATGTCATTATACTGCGGCATATGTGGACAATAAAAGCTGAGGGAGACACACGGCCAGGAACCCAGGGCTCCCTAGGGAGGCTGGAGGGCAGACCAGCTGCTGTTTGTGAAGATCCATCGGTCCCCGGAGATGGATGAGGAAGGAGCATGCTGAGGTGGTGAAACAGACCAGAGCACAAGCAGCCTGCGTGTCCTCACCTGGGAGGTCACACGCGCCCTCTCCCACTGCAGCGCGCTTCCCAGAGACGTGGCAGAGGGCTCCACTTCCGGCCAGAACTAGTCCTCCCTACAGCCTAGCAATCTGCAGCTGGGGGCGGAGAAATTACTCACCGTATCTTACAAGCTTCTGGTTTCTCCCGGGGGCTAGTTGCTACCGATGTGGCCAGCGCAAATGTAAGTTACAGGACAGGCCAATACAACTGTTTATGGGATGTGGCCCAAGCCACGGGCTGCCTGCTCTCAAAGACGGGGCATGGTACCACCCCTCTGGCCCAGTTCCTGGGAAAGCACCCACTAAGAGGGGCGGTGGAAGGCTTTATGTTGGCAAGCAAATTCATGGTCAGGCAGAGGAAGCAGAGCGCCCAGGCCCCAGGCCCAGGTCTGAGCTGACACAATCTGTCCCACCGTGGGGACCAGGGAAGGAGGACTTCCCCAGGAGGGGATAGAGCTGAAGCTATGTTCCCCAGCCAGGCCACCCCCTCATGCAGAAAGAGAGTGTGACCCAGACACTTGAGGCCCTCTGAATCTACAGGACTCCTCCTGGGGCCTCGGCGGGACCAGGGCTTGCTGTGCACACAGCAGCACAGCCGGCAAGCACTCAGGGGGTTGATGACTGACTGCCCACCCCCGGTGAAGGGCCGCTGATGCCTAAGTCTGCAAGGCGTCCCTCCTCAGAGACCAGCTTGTCCTCCCTGCATTCTGGACCCCTGACAACCAGGGGCCCCAGCCGCTCGCTTCATTGGGAAGATGAGTGGAAGGAACGGAGGCTCACAGAGAAGCAGGGCCCTGTCCCTTTCCAGAGATCGTGCCAAACCCCGGCGGGCTCATTCCTCTCTCAACCCCACTGGTGTATCCGTGACAGAAGAGAAGACGCAGGGAGAGGGCCGTCTCCCAGCCTGACCCTCAGAAAGCCCTCAACATCCACGTCCTCCAGCGACATGTGCCCAGAGCCTGGGCGAAGCCAGACCCCGCAGGGTCTCTGCAGGATAACAGTTGACGAGCATGGCCTCCCCTCACCAGGGTGGTGGCTGAGATGCCGAAGCAGAATAGGAGCTTTCCAGAGAACGAGGAGCGCTCAGCATAACCCGCAGGGATCAAGAGCCTCGCCGGAGTCCCTGGGGTGGCACCCATAGGTAACCAAAGATGGGTGGGCCCAAGACACCCAGAGGCACGTCAGAAGAAAGAGCTGGCAACCTGTCGTTTTACTCGGAGACCCTTGGGGTTGTTATGAGCTGGAATTGGCTCAGTGGGAACCTGAGTGGGTGGGGAGACCACTCACTGTAGCCCCTGCTCAACTTGCACTGTTGGTTTAAGGTCACAATCTTGGGGAGTCTGAGAGTCCCCCCACCACCCATGCCCCAATTCCATCCTGGACAGTCCAGAGCTGGTAGGTTTCACAAGTCCTCTTTCTATAATGGGCTTTTTCCTTCTTCCTGAGCAAGCCTTACTTCCTGTCAGTAGAATTCATCTGGTGCTGTAACTCCATAAGAAATTCCCTGGCATTTAGGAACTAGAGGGAAGTTGTATGTTTCATCGTTGCTACCTCACACCCTGACTGGCTCGTCTCCTGCCTGAGACCCTTCTGTAAGGGGATGCCCAGTGCCCTACAAATGGGCTTTGGGTCTCCACTC